TGTCGCAGACCGCCAGACTCACCAAGAGCACATGCAGATCAAATGGCGTCAGCCAGCACCAGCGGAAGTTTCCAACAGGGGACCATTCATCATGCGTCTGCGAAACTTTGCAAGAAGAATCTTCAACTCCCCTCATTCTCGAGTTTACTGAACAGCCTGAACGCTCAGGCCGAGAGGGACAATCGTAATATTGACTTCTGGATCGTGTAGCCTTTGAGCTTTGGAACGTGGATTATCTATAAGTATTCTGGTTCAATCAGAGAGTAGCGGACGTGACACTCGCTTACCGTATCTCATAATCCCCCCAGCTATCATATTTCATGCTTGTGGCCCATGTTTCGGGGATATCCTTGTTTTACACACATATATAGGGTTATCTATTTGTAGATAGCCAGTTATTTCAATTTTATGGGACTTATATCTGTTCTCTCGTTCAACCCGTGTGACGCTACCGTGACGTCACCTGACACCGAATGTATCGGTCACGGACGTCATTAACGACTCGCGCGAGAGATGGCAGGTTCCCCAGATTCGGCATTCCATCACTCCCAAGGCTCCTCCTTCGCCGCATTTATGTATTCCTACGTGATATGGAACGTGAGCCGTCACACTTTGTACAGCTGCGGACTTACGCAGCAAGCGTGAAGGTGGAAATGTACACCGAGTTGAGAGGGACGTGTCACTCTTTATGCATTGAACAACTGGATAGACACTCATCTGAGGTATAGATTTAATTGACTTCGCAATGCCGCGGGATCGTGATATCGCCACAACACCCACTGGAGAGCTTCTGAGAGGGGAGATGAGGACGATGTACGCTCCGTGGCGTGCCGTGAATATGTATGGGAACGGCGGTAGATTAAAAATACAGGTTTACATGGTTAAGGATGATGAGTACTTGCAAGTGATGAAAAACAAACGATCATTTGGCTTGATGCATTAAGAGAGAATCGAACTCCCGGCGGGTCGACGCAGGACACATGCATTTATGGCAACGACCCAGGTTACCACTACCCCATTAATGCATGTCAATTATCGCCTGAGCATCAAATCTAGATCGCCCACCTACGGCAACCACACATACACATCTTCTTGGCGCAACACGTTGGGTGTACCGACTGGAATGATTACTATTGGTTCCTATTACATTATGGAAGAGTGGAAAAAGACTAAGAATCCAACTCCCGGCTAGCTGTTAGCTCATCGACCAGTAGTGAACGACAAGGGGTACAGATTACCCGCGGGTTCACGGGTACGGGTACTTGCGGGTACGGGTACGGGTTGTTATGTTGGTACCCGCGGGTTACCCCTGACGTTCACTATCGACCAGTTGGTTTGACCATCTACGACCATTGTCGTTGTGGAATTAACGATCCTTTTTTGAATGGTAGTAAGTTGGTTCTGATTCTGATAATGGAAAATACTTCCTGTGGCGAAGGGATGTCACCCGATCCAACTCTTCACTTTCCTCG